ATCAGAAACAGCCATTCATTTTTATTTATTTATTTATTTTCCTCCATTTTTCATTGGCATAGTTGACTAACACCCTGTTTTGATATTGACAGTTCAGGTAGGAGCAAATGCAAGCACTAATGACTTGGATGAGTTTCTGCTCTTTGAATTTGCTAGAGATTTTATTAAATAACACTGTAGCTCAGGGTGAGCTGATTGTGTTTCACAGCCTATTTCCCCATACTCCCTAAATGCTGATTTACCTAGAATGAAATGCATGTACACATACTCTGGAGCATGTGTTAAAGCTGTGCTAAACATTTTCCATGTAACTTCCAGCTGGTAACATTTTGCCAGAAAGCCTGGTACTTAGAAATGATAAATAAATAAAACAAACAGAAACTTGTGCTGTAATAAGGAGACAATGGAACAGCTGCAGGGCATGGAGTAAATTCAGCTTGACTTGATGTGGACACAGTGGCTGGATTTTACCCAAGAGATATTAGCAACGTTCAGATTCCTAAAGGGAGGACTGTGGAAAGGGAAGAAGGGATCTCATTGGGAGGTCTCTTAGCACATTTGGAATAATAAACACAGAAATGATGAAAAATAATATTTAAGCAGCAAAATCAGCATGCACTGTCCTCCTGTAGGATGTTGAAAAAATATGAACTTGTCTTGAGAAGAAAAAATAATGAACAGCGCTTTGTTTTGTTTTATTTTGTTTGGAGGGAGAATGCAAAGAAGATGGAAGGGGGGCTGGAGCCTGGGGAGGCAAACTGTGTGACAACAGCCATCAAATGAAGGAAAGAGAAACAGCGAAGGTAAAGAAAGAAAGAGCAAACAGGGTGTGTATCAAGTGTGCTATTAAAGTGTGTTACTCATTAAAAGAAAAGAAACACCCTCCAAATTTCTTTAATTCTATTTGTAAGGGCAAAAGTAACACATAGCATAAATACTTCTGTCATGAAAACACTTTCACTTCAAGCAAAAACGTGCACAGTTCCTCAGCACCAGTAGTGGTAAGTACAAACACAACAGCAAAAGTTACAGTAGGTGGCACATTTATGTCTGTTTTTCTTTACCTTTCATGGGTGGGCTTTCTTTTACTTTTACTTATAGTAGTGTACATTGATCTTTGTGGAATATCTTATAGCAACAGCCCATTGAGTATTATTGGTGTTCTCTTGCTATTTTGGGCAAAATCCTAATCTTTCTTTCCCATACAAGGTGGTTCCATATATAATGTATTTATGTTTATAGCTTTAGGCACTCACTTTTGAATACAGTGACCTTAGAACTGTGCAAGGACCAGTGTCAGTGGTGAAACCATAAACCAGACATAAACCTTGTAAACAGTATATGTAAACTTGGTAAATCAGGTTCCTGTACATTAATTTCCTGTCACTCAACTGGTAGGCAGAACTTTCCAGGATGGAAACTGTAGTAGTTTAAGAGAAAGTAAAATAGGGTCACATTAATCTGTACTCTCTTATGTTTTCACTCAAATGCATAAAGGAGGCTAGGAGAGAATTTCCAACATAACTGTCACTCTAACTTTGGCTTGACTGGTTTGTCAAGATCAAATGACTTCACTTTTCTGGTATGTGCTCCTCTGCCTTTTACATCCTTGATATCCCAGTTTATACATGTGCACATGCTGACTTCCTCCAGGACACCACAACCCATCCTGATAATTGCACTGCTAATGCTACCTGCTGTGTTAAAGGTCAGCAGAAAGGCCTTAGCGGTGAAGTGGCACTTGCCTATCAAAATGCAAAATACTGGGGTGAATGAAGTAAAACTCAACTATTTTATGTTACAAAACTCGAAACATTCAAAGCCAAGTATATCATTCTCATGTTCCAATACACGAAAAGAATGTCACAGCATGACTCCATCTTCATGACGGAGGCTGAAAGAAGAATGAAAAATAATGCAAAGATATCTCCTTGTTAAAATTTATTGTAATCATGTGTTCTTCCTCTGCTATTGCACTGAAATAAAGACATTTTAATCCCACAGTACAACTGAGAGACCTCATCTAAAAACTGCAAAAACTCTGGTTCTGATATTTTGAAACTCAGAGTACTTGTCACTTGTGAATATTCATACAGACCATTGAAAAAATTAAATTCTGCCTGCAATGTTACATGAAATGAACAAGGAAATGAACAAGGTAAATCACAAATAGACAACAGTATTTTATGGAACATTTTAGAAACATCGAGGGCATCCACCATAAAATTCTTGTAGAAAAATCATTCGGGATAATACCATCATGGACCACATGCTTTAGCGATAAACAAAATACAGGAATCTGTCTTAAAGTCTAATAAAGTTTTGAATTCTTCAAGGTAACCTAGTAATGCTTTTTTATCCTACATGCAGGAGTATTCATGCTGCTAAGACATGGAATAAATAAGGCTTGTACAAACTTTGTAACAAAGAAGCTAGGAAACCAAACTAAACACTGGTTTTGTCTCAATGGAAATTTTTTTTTTTTTTTTTTTTTTTTTTTTTTTTTTTTTTTTATCTGAAGAAGAAATTTACTTCCCAAAGGCCTGCCTGTTTTATAGTAAGGGTAGTTAAAAATGGGAAACATTTCATGCTTGTACATATCTTTTCCTTTATGATTAAGTAAAATGCGGAGTTCCTCACTGGTAAAATAATAAATGTTTAAGAAGATTATTTTCCAGGGCTTTCTGACAAGTCAGCACTTATACATGAAAAGGCCAGATCTCACCCTAGCAAGAAACAGACTCGTTCCAATGGCAGATATACTAACCCAAGCAGACACTGAGTAAGTTGGTTGATTGGAGGACTGACTTCCATGTGAAGTGTGAGACTTTTTGTGCTCACAGTATTCCCTGAAGAAGTGAAAGTGGTCTTTTATGAGTTCTTCCATTAATAAACAACTTAAAAATAGAGGTAAGGTAGAGCTGAGACCTCTAAAAATAGAGGTTGGTGGCAATTTAGCTAAGCTACTGGCATGCTGCTGCTAAAAGAGAGAGCATACTCTTTCTCTACCTCACCTCTCTTTCTGTGCAGCTCTGATGCTGCATTGGACTATTATTTTTTTCTGTTCTAATTAAAGAGTCAGAAAGCCACTCATTTGATCTAATGGTTTTATTTCTACCATTTTAAGGAATTAAAGTTGCCTATGGTGAAGTCTGGCGAGCTTCTGAGCCAGCAGAATGTAAGGACCAGAACTCAGTGGTTGGAGATAGGAAGCAGAAACTTTGTTCTCTGGCAATGCATAGATGTTAATTCTGCTCTCTGCATCTCCTGGGACCATACTCCAAGACTGGAAGAGTTTTCAGAATTCAGGGGTGTTGTTTCAGTCACGAAGAATCAAACTTCTTAATGAAAATACTTATTATTGTGTTGACTGTGTGTGATGGGACATGGACCAAAATGTCAGAACAATCATTTTTTTTCTAAAAATCTTTGTGAAAACATATCTCCGAAGCAAATAAGTAAAGATAAAAACATGTAATGGCCTCAAATCAGGCTTTTCATTTAGAACTTCCCTTTCACCAAAACGAAAGCACTCGCTCCAAGCCCCCCCCCCCCCCAAAAAAAAAAAAGTAAAAAAAAGTGGGGAGTTCATGTGACTCCAAGCTTTCCTTTTGTTTCAGATGTTTCACGTGTAGAACAGGGAAAACAAACAAAACCCTATAGATTTTCAGAGCTCCAGTTCTGCCTAAAAGACTTTGAAGCCACACCACTGGCCTCTCATTGATGTATCTTTACCTGCAGTCTGTAAGACACAGGGACTGGAGTGCTCTCAGGTCCTTTGATTGAAAATATTCCACTTTGTATGTACAATACTCTGTTCTTTCACTGACCATCTGCAACATAGATTTTTACCTGCTTAGCTGAGATTACAGTCTGAACAGCTGCTTTTTCTAGATTTCTGCAGATGGAGAATGCAGCTCATCCTCTTCTAGATTGTCTTAATCTTTAAAACAAATATTACAATATTCTGTAGATATAAATATGGCTGAAAAAGAAGACGTGCTATAAGCTTAAAGATAGTTCAGGTGTCTCAAAAGAAACGCTGCTTGGGAATACTGTGAGTGAGCCAAAGTGAAGGAAATATTCCTGGTTCTCTCACTGAGAATGGCAGTTTTATTTCCTAAATGATGGACATAGACCCTTGTTTTTGCTTTCTGTCCCTGCTTCTTATTATATCGGATAGTTTATTGTCTTTAGGTATGTTTTCTATCTTCTATCTGTGTCTCATTTCTACAGAACAGCTTCAATTTAAGAATCTTCACCTGAATATCTGTGATTGCCAAAGAAATGCCTCTGATTATTTTCTCTGTCTTTCCTGAAAGCATCCACATTGAGGTTTCTTTTATATTAGTGCCTGCCAGATTCTGTCCCCAAGACTTCTTTTTCCCTGCAGCACTGGAAATGAAGATGTTCAAAGAGAGCAAAATTAGCTTTTTGGTAGCCTAGCTGGCTATAGTGTATGTCAGACAAGTGTGTCCCCATGCACAAGGTGCTGAGAATCATATTCTATCTTCAGTTAAATACATGAAAACTCATTAAAATCAATGTTGATGCACAGGTAGAAGTGAATGAGTAGTATTTAGCTCAGAAATTCTGTGTTCTTATCTTTAGACTTAATAATCTATTGATAGAATCATCCTGTGTTCCAAAAGCATGCCAACGCTTACTATAACATGTTGTGATTGTGCTGCGCTTTCAGCAAAGGTGGGTCGTGTGTTTAAAAATGACATTTGCTTTACCATTCTGCCTAAATTGTGGATAATGTTTTAATAAATGGTATTTTTAAAAAGAAATATATTATTTGATAAAATTATTACTCAAACTGAATTCCATCAAATTGTCACAGTTGTTATGTGCTTAAAAAGCTTCTGCTCCTCTATTATTAAGTGGTAAAAGATTATAATTTGATAAAAATGGATACTAAAATGACTGATTTAAAAAAGTGCGTTTCAATAAAATTCAGCATAAAAATTCAAAGCAAAATGAAAAAAAAAAAAGATTTTCTTTATTATTTTAAATCTACACATTTTAAAATATTTCAGTGAACAAATGAATGTTGTAATAGGAGGTATATCACATGTACAACACAGTCATCCATTTCCAGAACTGGCTCATTCATTTATATGATGATTCATCCACCCATGCTTATATGCTATATACTTTACTATAATAGAGACAGTGTTTACATGGTTTAACTACAAAAAATGCTATGGTAGTGCAAATCAAGACAGCATATTGCAAGCCTCGTTGAAATTATGAAACTTCTCTTAATCAAGGGATTTAGTTTGGGGGGCATATGTAACTGGAAGAGCTTTTTTGCAATCATAATCATATAACTGTGGTTTTCTAACATGACTAATAAATATATAGCAGCTGACTTTTCTTGGACACAAATATACGCAAATATATTGATAATTTTAATTCTTTGTTTTTATTTTTTTTTTTTTTCCTCATACTAACAGGAGATAGAAAGCTGCAATTAACTAATTTTTTCTTGTTCAGTTTAAAAAAGAATCAAACTATAAGCAGCTAGGAAATAGGCTTTCAAAAGAGAGTTCTTTGCAAACATAAAAATAAAAAGCTTTCAAAGAATTTAAAAAAAATGAATGACCTGAACTGCTAGTTACAAAAAGTTTGTTTACTTACTAAAGCAGCAATGTTGTCAATTGAATACAAAGCAAAAATGAACTAAAAGATTAAATTAAGGAAAATAAACAAAATAACAATTTAGTGATGACCCAGGGAATTTGAAAACAGTAATAATTTCTTGAACACTTGGTAAACCTACAAAAACCATAAGTGAGCAATAAAGAGATAGTTCCTGCATGTATATAGGTTTGTTCCTGGAATGTGGGTTGCAACATTTTATTGACTGTGGCATGCAGCTCAGTAGCCTTGTAAAGAAGGAGACTGGTAAGTAAGTTATCATTTCCAGCATAAACCCTTAACCACTTCATTCTTGTGATATCACGATGAGGTGATTGAGGGTAAATGTACAAAAGAACTGTTGGTCTTTTTCTAAGGAAATGATCAGGTTTTTAAAGAAATTATCAAAGGCAAAACCAGTTACATTGTTTTGCTGGTGTGGAGCTCAAGTAAGCATTTCATCACAGTGCAAGCTAAAATAATATTCTAGAACAGGTAATAAGAATATTCTAGAATGGGTAACAACTTATTTGATACACCTGATGTTTAAATGATTTATTTCTCTGCTCCCTGAGTTAAAATAAATAAATAAATAAATAAATAAATAAATAAAAAGCATATTTCTGGTTTGTATTGAAGTTTTATTTATTTATTTATTTAATTATTTATTTTCACAAATTAGTTTTTGTTTTTACCTGAATTTTTTCACTTATAAAAAAATAAAAAATTAAAAAGTCAACAAAAGTTCAGCATGAAAACTCAGAATTATACCTTCTGGAAATTTCACTAAGTTCAGTTTAAACATATCTGAATTTTTACTTTATTTTCTCCCACTAAACCTATCAAATGACACTATAAAATGTCTCTCAAATTCATCAGTCCTGAAGATTTTTTTAATAGTGATTTATTATTTTTGCCAATCTCCACATATAATGTCATTTGTTGTCAATCATACAAATACCAGATGTATATGTGAAATGTATGTGCCCATCTCCTTTCCATTTTTTCTTAACATACATTTTTGATTGCTTGTTTTATTTATTTTATTTTAAGTTTAAATAAATTTAAATAATTTTAAATGTAAATACATTTATTTTATTTGTATTACTTACTCCTCTCCCATCTACTTGATAATGATCTTGGATTTCTGATTTCAGTCAGGCTCTCATGATGACTGGTCATTGTTGATAATATTATTTCTTTTTGTTCTTGGTAAGTTGATCTTCAGGTAGTATCTGCATTATTCCTACTAAATATATTCTCTAGATGGTTCTGTTGGAGTTCACTGAGTTCCCATAAACAGACATTATGTGCATCTCTACAACCTTCAACCTAAAGGCTGAAGTTCTGACCTTAAAATTTTTTATCTCTTTTTGTCTAAAGACACTACTTAAACACAAAGGAGTCCTTGCTTGTTAATACAAACACAGGTCTGTTTTTCACGGTAGTATTTATTTATGACTTCTTTATATTGAGGCTCTCTGAACTTCACCTGTAATATACTACCACATTTTCACATAAAACCGTCTACCAGAAGGAATTGACATTAGTTATGAGAGAGAGTAGCAGCAGCTCTTTAGACGTATAACTACTGTGCCATTTTGATGTAATTCAGTTTAAATTTCAAACATTTCTATTTAACATAATCAAGTGGTATGAAATCTTCTTTTAAAATGGCAAGTATACAGTACTAGCTCAATTGGCACTTAGCAACGGTCCTTTTACAATATGCACAATAGCTTCCAGCAGGGAATTTTTTAAGGACCATCCTCTGAGAGCACAAACTCACACATGTACAATCAGGAGACATCAAGGTTCTATCTCCAGCTCCCCTTGAGATGTTATTTAGCTAAT